ATAGAAAACAGGATATAATGAATTAAAATATTCTATCTGTATAAGTTGCTGAAATACTAACCTTAAAATTGCTTTTATATTCAAAACCTGAGTGCAAACCACACTAAAAATAAGTATTTGTTCTATAAGCCATGTGGGTTTTTGTTTGTTTTTTAGTAGAATACCAGTACTTGTTTAACTTAGACTTTATTTTGGAGCTGTTTCAGAAATTGTTTTTCATGTTTAAGTTTAATAATATCATTGATAGACATTGTCTTCAATTTCAGAAACTATGCTGCAAAATCAAAGATTTACTGCATTTTTAATTAGTATGAATATGTTGAAAGGTTTTTTTTATGCTATTAGGTGATGAAGGAAGTTTCTCCCATTAAAGTTATATTTTTGTTCAGCTTTGTAAGAAGCACATTTCTTATTTCAATGAAGCTTTGTTAATCATATATTTAAATGTGTCAAAAATATTTGATTTTAAAATATCCTATAATAAAAACTTTTGAAATGAAAATTGAACTTTTGAAGTTCTGATTTTGGTTTGTAAAGGTTTTGTTAAAGTGAGATTAACTACCAATACTTAAATATATCTACCTGTTAACTTCAGTTTTCTTACAGATCTCTCACTTGTGTGGGGTGTAATAAAAGTTATTTTATGTGCTTTTTATGGGAAAAATGTGGGCTTTTTATGGGAAAAATTACTGACCCTAACCTTTGAACAGGAGGAATCTAATATTTAGTATCTACAGAAAATTTTGAAAGAATTTTTCTAGTAAACTAGATGTATCAGAGTATTACCGGACATTTCTGGATGTGTGTGTGTGCGCTGGATTATGTCCATGTTTCCTATAATATATCTCAAATTTAAGGGAAGTCAGAGGTATAAAATTTAGATCATTAATCATGGTATAAAAATTACATCTTCACTCCCAAACTAATGAAGGGTCTTAAAATAAACTTTCCTAAAATTACAGAAACTCTGAAAACCCTTGCTTAAAGGTCTTGCCCCTAGTTGGTTGGGAAAGCCAAGAGTAGAACTTAATTTTCTTGACCTAGTCCCCTATTTCTCCTGTCCCCAAACTCCAACATGAATAGCTATTTTCTTTAGGCACATAATCACTCTGAAATAGTATGTTATTATCTCTACTTTGAAGTTAGAGACTGAGTTACGGAGAAGAGTTGAGTGGTTGTCTGCGGAGACCCTCAGAAGCTCTGGATTCTTCCTTTACCATACAATTCCAGTTTTAAAAACCGGGTTTCCCAGCTCGATGCAGACTAGAAGCAAAAATTAGAAGGGAAGGGGGAAGAAAGCTTTTAAAGGCAGGCACATGACCAGCTATAAGAAGTGACCACTTCTATTGAGGAGGGAGATGCAAAACTATAAAACACAGACATTCCAAGCATAGTAGCCTAGGGTCCTGTAGTGTGAAGGCAAATAAATCCCCTGTACCTTAGGGTCCGTGGAGGGCATTACTGTATTAAAATATAGTGTAGTATTTGAGCACGATAATTACTCTGAGTCAGTAAGAAAGGGAAAATTGTATATCCTTTGTTTAAGAAGGTATTTTCAAGGGAAAGGTTACTGAAACGGCAAGGCTTAGCCTATAATGTACTTATTTACAAGCTGCTTTTGAAATTTGAAATTCAGAAGTACTTAGAACACTTTGAGAAGTTTGGCACTCAAAGAGAGGCTTCATCTCTCTGGCAGTTTTATATATGGAACATTTCATTATTTTATTTCCTAGCAGTGCTAAATCAATTAGGCATTAATTGTAGTTGTTAAAGGCAGATCAGGATTCAAGCCTTTGACTTAATTAGTTTAGTACAACTCAAGAAGCAGCGCTAATTACCTTTACTTTGGTGTTCATTCATAGCACCGCTTAGAATATTCTCATAACCGTCATCTTTTAAGACCTTACACAGAAAAGAGGCAATATTGCAATGTAGTTGAGAGAGTGGACCCTAGAGCCAGACTGCCTAGGGTCAAATTCTGGCCCAGTTATTCACTAGCAGTGCAATTTAAATTACCTCATCTGGGGAAGAGATATGGGAACATATATATATGTATAACTGACTCACTCTGTTATAAAGCAGAAACTAACACACCATTGTAAAGCAATTATACCCCAATAAAGATGTTAAAATAAATAAATAAATAAATAAATTACCTCATCTGACCCAAGCCTCAAGTTTTTTTGTTGTGTAAAATAGGGAAGGTAATATAACTACCTCATTGGAAAGTTGTGAGGACTAAAGAAGCAAAAGCAAGTCAAGTCTTAGCACATTTTTGGCACATGCTTATTATGATGGCCATTGTATAATTATTATTACAAGGCCCCTATTAAGAACATTTCCTGTGGGAATACTAAATAATGACTTACTATTTATTATGGTGAAATGAATTGTTGTTTTCTCATTTTGGCACATGATACAAATCGTTTTAGCCAACTTTGCAAGTTATAAATATGCTTTCACTTTTTACTAGATGCTAATGTTCTATAAATGGATGAAAAAATGTATCACAAAAAATTCCAGTCTTAAAGACTACCCTGTTAAAGACAATTTTAGGCTTAATCAGACTGGAGGAAGCTATGAAATGTTTTACTACCTACCAAGACCTTAACAACTTTGTAACATTTAAATTATGTTTTGAACATGAGTGGCTTTTGTTATTAGTTTTTTGTTTAATGACATCACAAAATGCAAGCAGGATCCCATTTTAATCACCAGCTCAGTATAATCTGGTGTTTTTCATGTTCCCTGTTGTTAAGTAGCCTGGAGCTTTACGGGCTGTAGGGTATCTTTCCTGTATCCAGAAATTGGTCTCAGGCTTCCCACTACTGACAAAGTCCCTTGGAGAAACTTGGTGCACTCATTATTTGTGAGTTTCAATGGAGCAATTCAAAGCTGCTGAGGAAACTACAGCTTATTGTGTGTGCCCATGTGCTCTCTCACTTAATCCTTATAGTAGTCCTATGAAGTGTAGATGTTTTTACCCCTTTTCCAAAGGAGGAGATTGAGGCTTGGGCAAATTAAATGAATTGATCAAGATCACACATAGGGTAAATGGCAGAAGCGGCATTCAAGCAAGATCTATCTGCACATGTTCTTTTCACTGCATTCCCTTGGCTCTCAAAAGGAAGTAATAAATTACTCTTTATAGTTTGTACACAGCTGTATGTAAAGCCCCACCAGAACCAATCTGGACTATTTCCATGTGTGTCAACAGTTGGTCTATAACTTAGATCCTGTGAATAATCAGCTCTTTATGAAACCAGTTACATACAAGAGATAAATGTGGCTCCCTATTCTGTTTTTTGGACAGCTAAAAAACCTGATCAGATTTTTCAAAGTGGGGGTCATGGGGAAGGCAGATTTTCTTTTTCTTGCCTTCTGTACCTCATATGGGGCTTAAGTTTTTTGAAAAACATCTTATTTCCTCTTGTCACTACACCTCTGTGGCAGGTGATTTTTTTTTCTTGATTGACATTCAGAATATGTGCCATATGGAAATTTGAGTCTCTTCAAGGTTTTTTGTTTTTGTTTTTTAAATTTTTGTTATTGAGTGTACTTGTATTATTTTACACATCCTTTTTGTGAAATATTTATTCCTTTTTTTAAAATTGGAATAACCTTGGTCCTAGTCACCTCCGGATAAACAGGATTTTGTTACAGAGCAGTATATGTTTGCCAGGGAAACCAAGTTATTGCGGCTATTAAAATTTTCATTCCTGGAAATTGTCCTTTATTAACATGAAATTATATCGTCCAGGCACTGCAATTAAGTGGGCAGGCACTATTTTATACAGCTACCTTTTTTGTTTTTTAAACAAGCTTTAAAAAACCCCTAAACTGGGATAGTGTCTTAATCATCTTCCTATCTCTAGTCCCTGGTACATGGTAGATGTTCCATAAATGTTTGTTGAATAAAGGGGTTGATTTTCTGTTGAATGGCAAAAGTAATTTTTTTTTATCACACTGTTTTGATTAGAGGTCAAGGATTACTCAATTTGGCACATGAAGAGCATGGGAGTAAGACTCGATGCTTCTCTTGGATCTGCCCCTAACTTAATTTGTGACTTTGGGGAAAGTCACTTAATCTCTCAGCACCTTGGTTTCTTTATCTGTAAAAAGAGGCGCTATGACTAGATGATCTTGAAGGCGCCTTTCAACACAAAGTTGTATCATCTGTGATCACTGCATTTAAAAAATTTAGGAATGGCATATGAATCATTTAAAAGCTTCTTACTGCATAACCCTGATAAGCGGCTGTAAGGGTATGTCTCTCCTTGTGCTTAGAAGCAGATATCAAATTGTTCCTATTCGAAGAAAAATGTAAGGGGATGTGTGAAAATAATTGGTGAAAAGTTACTTTTTAAAATTATTATATCTAGAGCACTCTGTATTTAAGAATAGAGTTTTGCTCCAGTTTAAAAAAAAAAAAGCTGCAAACAAAAATAGGTTATCTCTCTTTAAAAGTAACGTAAATGTCTAATGCATATGAAACTTTTCATCCATACTGTAAATCAAAGAAGCACAAATTAAGACAGCAATAAGATATATTGCCTATCAAATTTGTAAACATTTAAAAATAACACTCATTTTTGGCAAGAAACAGGGACTCAGAGCAATGGGAGTGTATTTAAATTGGTACAACTGTTCTGGAGGGCAATTTGAGAGTTTCTCAAAATGCTGAAAAGTGTGTATACTTTTGACCTGCAATTCCACTTCTAGAGAAATTTATTTTAAAGAAATTTATCATGGAAGAGTACAAAATTTTATTCACATTAATGCTAATTATAGTGTTATATATCTAGGAAGACAAAAGATACAAACTCAAATCTCTTGGTTGTAAGACTATGGGTCACTTTAATTTTCTTCTTTACTTTTTTATGGTTTCTACATCTTCTGTAAATGTTTTTAAAAATATGGGCTTGTCTTTAATGAGTGTGTAGAAGTATTTCCCTTCTCATCTCCACTATTCAACACTTTCTTGCTTTATTTTTGAACAGGGCTCCAGGAAAGGTTGTGATTTCAACATTAAAGGTGAGTTGTGCTTTCTGAAAGTGATAAGTATATTTCTACAAATTGTATACAATTTTCATTCATTTTTCTCTTTTATGTAATTCTTCATTTTCTGCTTTGGCTTTCTATTACTTATTTTTTGCTAAGTAATATTATCATTGTATCTTACTCTAGGTGTGATTAGGTACTCTAGAAATACCTAATTAAATATTGTACTGTAAGGAAGGGACTATAAGTATTTTTTAGATTTCTGCTAATTTTTATTTGGTTTACAATTTTTAGAATAAAAGAACACTATAAAATACTTGTATTTGTGTGTATGTGTGTTTTTAATTGAAAAAGTAATACTTGCATGACAGAAATATGGAGTAACCAAAACACTTGTATACTTCTTATGGGCACATGTATTGGTATCATAATTATATATAAAAATCAATCCTAGCCTTATATTCAAGCAAAGAAGTTTGATATTGAGACATTATGCCAATGAGCACCATTTTAAATACAAGAATATCACCAAACAGAACTATTTACATCAAATAGAATATATACTATATGTCTATGTTTGTGTATGGTTGTGTTTGTGTGTACGTCTGTACATATGTATGTATAATCTCAAACATGCTGTATTTTTTTTTCAGTTTCAGTGTCCCTACCTTCTATTTATACACATTGGATATTGATCTGTTTGATAAATTGTGGTGTATTCATATGGAATATTCTGTAGCAGTGGCTATGAATGAATTAGTTGTACACAATAACATGGATGAATTTCAGCACCATGGTGTTGAGTGGGGGAAATAAAACAAGTCACAGGAAAATACATGTAGGAAGATTCCATTTATATTAAGTCCAAAAGCATGCAAAACTAGAGAATATATTGTTCAGAGATACAAGCATAGTAAAACTATAAAGAATAGCAAGGGAATAATAAACACAAAGTTTAGGATATCAGTCATCTCTCAGGGGGAAAGAATGTAATGGAAATGGAGAAGGACATACAAGAGACTTGAAAGCTAATAGTAATACTGTTCTTTTTCTTAAACTGAGTACTTAAGAAAGGTTATATCATAATTCTTTATTATATTTTATAAAAATTCTTTTATATTAACTATTTAATAAAACCGTTTTAAAAAACAACTCATGGACATGGTTAAAATTCACTCAGTGTGAGGGCTTCCCTGGTGGCGCAGTGGTTGAGAGTC